CACCACATTTTAAAAAATGGCACAAAGGTCAGTTCCTGAAAAAAATCTGAAAGTCAAATATCAAATGTAATATATTTCAAAATCAAATTAAACTATTCTTTTTTGAAAAAAAATTCTAACTTTAAGTTACTAAGGCATTTATGTCACCATCAGCAATTCCTTAGTTCTACAAGAGTCCAAGTTGCTAACAGTTTAACACAATAAAACAGTCTTCTTCAGTGTATCGTTACATAAGTAAGCAAAAACAGCAAAGAGTATCACTTGATGTAAAATACCCACTCCTTACTTATTGACATAGCTATGCTTCAAAGACTAGGTTGTTCCGCAAAATTTGATGTTATGTGGAAGTAAGGAAGATCATGCTAGATCTGTATTGTACCTCCGGACTGTAAGCTGTTTGCGGTTCTGAATTGTGTCCTGGGATAAGGAGCTCTGGTGGCATGGCGCTTAGGGGTTGCATAGCTAATACGGTCAGCATTTTGAAACTTTCCCTGGTGAAGAAAGATGAGGTTTTTGGCTCCTGTAAAGAGTTAAGGTTTCAGACACTCACAGGGACAGTTCTACGCTTTCCTATAGAGTCACTTTGACTCCGTATCAGCTGGATAGCAGGGAAAGCTTTCTCAGACCAGCATTATCAGCATCACATAGGAGCTCTTTGAAATGCAGAATGCCTGTTCCCATGTCTTACTCACAGAAATCAGACTCCACATTTAAAACACACACACACACACACACACACACACACACAAAACAACAACCCAGGAGATTCATGTGCACATTAGAGTTTGAGAAGCACAATATGTATCAAAAGCCTGAGAAAAAAAAAGCAGGTGGTTTTGCTTCTAAGTTTGAGTTTGCAAGGCTAGAAACATCAGAGAGTTTTAAATAATGTTGATGATTTTTACCACCTTTTGAATGCTCATAGTACAAAGAAGGAATCATGAGCTCCTTTTTATGTACGTGTCTTAGAGCGGGAGTGAAATTACTAAATTCTTTAGTAACTTGGCTACTTGCCTCCCCTTGATTCTAGCTTTGAGTTCCTCTCATCTGAAAGGAGCCAGATCTGCCAAACGGGCAGTAGAGTTCTCAGGGGTGAGGTGGATTCTGTGTTAGCAAGTGGCTGGCTCTCTAGCTATTGGATTTCATTGTCCATGTGCTGCTAGCCATGTGCTAAATGAGAATTTCAGTGATAATGGAACACAGAGACCATCAGGGGCCATTCTTAAATTGGGGGCAAAAAACACTTTATTTCAATGATTAGATCATACTATGAACTATGCATCTATATTAAATATTTCATTGTGAGCAGGTAATTCTTTTAGGTGTTGAGAGAAATAAAAAAAATTCTTAGCCCCAGGTATCTTTGTGTTTTGTATGTATTTGTATGTATTATTATATTCAAATGAGCAAACCCATGAGAAATATCTTCCCACTTTTTCATATATGGTAACTTGGCACAGGAGGTTAACAAACTTGTTTAACATCACAGGAGTAGTGAATGATGGATTCTATCTTTGAAAACAGCCTCAAAACTCTAGCTGTGTCGTCACCATTCATCCTGCAACTAAGGCACACAGAGACTCCATGATCATCATCACCTTGAACTGGGTTTTGAGTTGGATCAGCTTGGTTCAATCATGGCCAATGGAGTTACAACAGAAGACCTGAAGTTTTCAAAACTTGTGTTTTGGCACACACTGACAAGATGAACAAGAATGGGGTGGGGAGGGGGGGCACGCGAGATGTTGGTTGAAGCCATGCTAGAAAGTTGCTCTTCCTCTAAGAAAACAAGGGAAGCAAATGCATTGTCCAGAATCCAAATCTCTTGACCAACCAAACAGAACACAACGGTGGCCGGTTCCAAGTGACGGACTGTGTGCGTCCCTCTCCATATTCCTGCAATACTCCAGTCGCCGGCTCGCCTTCTGCAAGGGCTCGCTCTGCTTTGGAGTTGCCATTCCAGGGCTTCCACTTGTAAACTTTCCCACTCGAGTTAGTATTCCAAAGCATCCATATTTAAAAGTTTCCAGTTGGTTCCAGTCATACTTCCTTGGCCATGATTGAATGAGTTGAACCCGTTCAAAGTGCTGGTCTTTTGGAGTATACCTGAACCTGTGTGCCTGCTGTGAAGGTGGAATTCAGACCTACTGCAGACATAAGGCAGTAAAAAATAAACTTTCAACTCTAAAGAGAATCATCTTCATTTCCATTAGAATCTAAACTAGTTCCTCTAGGAGTTTGTTTTTCAATAAACTATTGCATTTCGACTCCCCTTTGTAGCCTTTCTCTTTTGTATCCTTCACCTGGTCCAAGTCATTAGAGGATGATGTAGCGAGCCATCCCATCCCAGCTGAGGCACAGACCATCAGCAGTGTGGTGGGAAGGGAGGAGGAAAGGGCACAGCTTGTGTTTTAGAAGGCCTCATTGGTTTCACAAAAAGCTTCTTGCTTTTCTGATGTCATGGACTAACCACTTTCACAGGTGTCAGTGGATTTGTTCTAGCACCACATTCGTTATTTTTGGAAAAATGTTGCTTTCAGAAGCAAATCACCAACTCATCCAAGCTAAATATTTAGCCGTCTTCAAGGAGAAGCCCCCTAATTCATGAGAAATCATTATCAGAAAAAAAAGAAAGAAAGAAAGTTCTGTTTTGAGGAAGGTGAATGCCCTCAAATGGTGGCAAAGACATTTTCCTAAAACTGCTTAAGAAAAGAAGTCCTTTAAGGATCTGGCCTGCTGGCTCCTAACTCCTAACTTAGCAATTGGCAAGAAAGGTTGGCATATTTAGGAAGGGTTAGAGGGGCAGGTTGGCAGCTCGGGATGCACTGTTAAATAAATGTTTTCTTTTGACCTGTCTCCAAGGCAACAAGAATGATGATGCAAACAAATGTGAGCACAAAAATAACAACTGAAAAAATTATGTCATACACTAAACACACATTGAATAAAATAATTTATTTTAATTTTATATATATACTTAATAAATAGTCTCACTTTCCTTTTAGAGAGCCAGTGTTGGTATAAGCACACTTTGGTGAAAGACTTCCTTTATTCTGTTTTATGATAACCATTTTGATTAATGAGTATAATCTTGCTCAAACTATTTTTGTCACTTTATAAATTGCTTGTATATTAATATGCAATTTATGTCTTCTTAAAAATTGCCTAATTGTACTTTTCTTACCTCCCTATGGACTATCTTGGTAATTTATAATAACATAAGCAATAACACCCCAGTTTCCATCCAGATGAAATGTGCTCTTTGGGACAGAAACACTTCTGAAGATTTTCTTCAGGGACAATGATACTACTCATAATTGAAAACTTCCACAGTGAAATCATTATTATTTTCTTTTCACGGTTTATTTATTTTGAAACAAAATATAAATTTATTATTAATTTCTAGACAGATTAGAGTTGCTTTTAGAATATCAACTTTTTTACTAAATATTTTCTATTAAAACCAAGAATTTTCAACATAGAAATATACATTTCAAAATATCCCCCTACAGGTAAGGTCGAATACAATGAAATAAGAATATAATGAAAAAAATTCCCTCTTGGCTTGCCTCAACACTCATTGCCATCGGGTCCATGCTGACTCGGAGACCTCCTGGGTTTCCGGAACTGGACTGTCTAAGGCAGTAGTAGAAAGCCCAATCTTTCTCCTGCGGAACTGCTGGTGGTTTTGAACTGCCAACCACGCAGATCGCAGCCCATCTTGTAACCACTACACCACAGTGCTCCATAGTAGAGAGGTAAATAACGGTTTGAACTATTTCACAGAACTTCTAGAAATACGTAGACCCAAAGCAAGCAAAACCTATTGCCTTTGAATCAATTCTGATGCTCACTGAACTGAGAGGAACAGAAGAGAACTAACTGCTCCTGAGGGTTCTTGAGACTGCAAATCCCAAGACAATAGACAGAATCACCTTTCTTGCTTGGAGAGGCTTGTGAGTTTGAATGGCAAACTGTGGTTAGTTGTGGCAAAATGAGGATTTGGTAGAATGTATTTGGCCTTATTTTTATACTCACAACCATGGGCATATGGAAAACTAGCCCTATTTTGAGAGAGATATCTATTGTTCTGAGCTAGAAATGTTTCCAAATACACATTTCTCCAGGCAGAATGAAGCGCCCGCTGTGTAGCAATAGGTGTGCATCGAGGAGCGGTCATAAAGGAGCTGCCATATAAGATGAATCATTCTTGTGTTTAGCTATCCACTATACCTGGAGGTTATCTGTAGATAAGAACAATCAGGTTTCATCACCAAACCACTGAAAAACGTAGCAAACTCTTGGGGAGGGTTCAGGGGGGTTTGAGGTCAAATAGTACAAGGTCAAGATGATGACTCACCTCACTGCTGTTTTATTACATTACCCACTTATGATATTACCCATTGACTATGTACTATGTTAGCTGTATGAAGCACATGCCTTGTGACAGATCTGTAAGCCCCATTATATGTGCCCATTGGAAAATACATTTACTCTCCCACTCCTGACATAGGGATGAGGAGCCCCTAGGCCCTGCTGTCTGTCTGTCTCTATTATTTTTCCACAATATCAAAGTTGCTCCAGAGGGCCTGTTCGAGTGTGGGGACCCCCTAAACCCCCACAGTTAGTAATGCAATACTTTACTCACTGCACTACCAAGGCTTCTTTAGATACAATAGGGCAACCTACAATATACTGCCTAGCAAACGCCCTGCATAAGCAAAGTGAGTGCAGTCACTAGATAGCTTTAAAACAAAACACAATTTGGACAATTAAAAAAAATTGTCTATGACACAAATATAAATATATTTATCTATCAATATTTAAAAGATCAAGTACTTCATTTGGAAACACAATGGTTTAAGACAAAAGCAAAGCAGGCATGCAGAGCAAAACTGATCCAAGTCATCCTGCAGTCATTCAGTTCCACTCTGTGGAAGGCTAAATTCCACAATTAGAAGTAAGTGGGTTCCCAATGATGCTGAGCGAAGTATACTGACCTTTTTTGGCAAGGCTACTGTTGGGTTCATACTTCTCGATCAACACTTGGACTTGTTCTTGCTTTAAAGGCGGGTAAAGGATTTCATTTAGCCGGGGATCTCGCTGCTTAAGATTGATAAAATCCATCATCTGATCAACAGTAAGGTATGGTTTGCTTTTGGCACCACTAAAAACAACAAACATTGAGAAATCAGAACATGTCCCCCCAAGTCTTTCCAATATATCACAGACTGTGAGAAGGCAAAACAAATCTGTCTTGGAAGAAGCACAGCTTGAAAGCTCCTTAGAAGGAAGGACAGTGAACCTTCAACTCATGTACTTTGGTCAAGTTATCAGGGAGGACTAGTCTATGGAGAAGGTCATCGTGCCTGATATAGTACAAGGTCACTGAAAAAGAGAAAAACCCTCAATCAGATGGATTGACACAGTGGTTGTAACATTGGGCACAAATATACAATTGTGAGACTGGAGCAAAATCAAGTAGTGCTTTGTTCTGTTGTACATAGGGTAAATATCAGTCATAAAAGTCTCCATAGCACCTAACAGTGATTCATTCATATATGTGCATACAGGTATAGGGAGTCACCACTACTTGTCTGCCAGTGTGTCATACTGTGATGGCTTGTGTGTTGCTGTGATGCTGGAAGATATGCTCTGATGATTTACAATATCATCATCGTCACCCATGGGAATAGATTCCAAGGGAGCTACCAGACAGAGAAGAGTAGGAAGAAGAAATAGACTGTCTACTTCTGGGGATTAGCCCCTGAAAACCTCAGGAACAGCAGCTGAGCAACATCTGATACAGTGCCAGAAAATGAGTTCTTCGGGTTGGAGGTCATTCAAAGTAAGACTGAGGAAGAGCTGCCTCCTCATGGTCAAGTTGATCTTAACAACCCAGATGGAGCAAAACTTTCAAATCTTTCACTTGCTGATAGGGCATGGCTAAAGATGAAAATAGACACATTCTAACATTACAGTTAGAACGTTAACAGTCAGAACACGGAATGTGCAAACTATGAATCTAAGAAAATGGAAGTCATCAAGAATGAAATGCGCTTTACACAATTGATGTGTGTATGGATTGGGATAACAGTTGTATGAGCCCCTAATAAAATGTTAAAAAAGAAAAAAAAAAGAATGAAATGGAACACATTTATTTATTTATAAAATAAATATCCTAGGCATTCATGAATTTAAGTGCACTGGTATTAGTCATTTTGAGTGTGACAATCATATGGTTCACTATGTCAGGAATGATCTATTCAAAAGTAAAACATGATGGAGAAGCACAATATCACCAGCCAAAACAAAGCCAGGGGCTGATTGTGAAATAGACCATCAATTGTTTCTATATAAGTTCAAGTTGCCGCTAAAGAATATGAAACACAAGGCCATCATAGTTGAAATACAGTGCTGAACACATTCCACTTGAAATTAAAGAACATTTTGAGAAGAGCCATGACACATGAGACACTACTGACCAAAGACCCGACAAGCTATGGAATGGCATCAAGAACATCATCCATGATGCAAGCAAAAGTACATTGAAAGAAAGAAAAGATCAAAGTTGATTTCAGAAGAGACTCAGAAATTTGCTTTTGAATATAAAATAAAGCAGATGGAAGAAATGATACATGAAAACAAAGGAACAGAAATTTTCAAAGGGCAGATCAAGAAGACAGGTAAAGTATTATAATAAAATGGGCAAGGAACTAGAGTTAGAAAACTAAAAGGAAGAACACACTCAATATTTATCAAGTTGAAAGAACTGAAGAAAAAATCAAGCTTCAAGTTGCAACATTGAAAGATTTTATGGGTAAAATATTGAATGATGCAGGAAGCATCAAAAGAAAATAGAAGGAATACACAGAAGAACTACACTAAAAGCAAAAAACAAACAAACCCAGACAATTTAATCAGCATTTAACCATTTCGGGAGTAGCATATGATCAAAAGCTGATAATAGTGAAGCAGCTCAACTTTATTGAAAGCATTAGTGAAAGACAAGGCTCCAGGAATTGACAGAATACCAATAAAAAAGGTTTCAATAAATTGACGCAGCCCTAGAAGCAATCAGTAGTCTAAGTCAAGGTATTTGAAGGGCAGCTTCCTTGCTAACTGATTGGAAGCGATCCATACTTGTGCCATTGCAAAGAAATGAGACCCAACAGAGTGTAGATACTAAGACGATATCTTTATATCACATACAAGTAAAATGTTGCTGAAGATAATTAAAAAACAATTACAGCAGTGCATTGGCAGGGATTCTAAACTGGAATGTGAGAAATCTAAGCTGGATTCCGAAGAGGACATGGAACAAGGTATTGCTGACATTAGATATATTTGTCTGAAAGCAGAGAATGCCAAAAGATGTTCAGTTATGCCTTATTGACAGGGCACAGGCATTCATCTGTGTGGATCATAGCAAATTTGAGTAACTTTGGGAAGAATGGGAGTTTGGGACTCTTAACATTTAATTTTGCCCATGTGGAATGTATACATAGAACAAGACAGTCATTAAATAAGGGAATATTGCATACTTTAAAATCAGAATTTATGTGAGCATTGTATACTTTTTAATGTGAGAATTGTATACTTTCACAATATTTATTCAATCTCTTTGCTGAGAATATGATCTGAGAAGCTGAACTATATGAAGAAGACCATGACATCAAGAATGGAGGAAGAGTCTCTAACAAACTGCAAGATGCAGATGACACAACCATGCCTGCTGCTGAAAGTGAGGAGGACTTGAGGCACTTGCTGTGGAAAATTTAAAAAAAACTGCAACCTTCATTATCCATGACAACTCAATTTGAAGAAAACTAAAATGATCACACCTAGACCAATAAATAACATCATAACAAATGGAGGAAACAGGAAGTTGTCAAGGATTTCATCTTGTTTGGAGCCATAATCAATGTTCATGGAAGCAGCAGTCAAGAAAGCACATCAAGTATCAGACTGGGCAAATCCGCTGCATGAGGCCTCTTGAACATGTTAAAGCACAAAGATATCACTGTGAGGATTAAGGTACTGCTGACCCAAGCCAAGGTATTTGCAATCACTTCATAGGCATTTGAAAATTGGACAAGAGAAAGGAGGGCCACAGAAGAATTGATGCATTTGAAGGATTGTGTTGGCAAAGAATATACAAATTACTATGGACTACCAGAGGAAAAACAAATCTGCGTTGGAGGAAGTACGGCTACCAAGCTCCTTAGATGTGAAGATGGTGAAGCTTTGTCTCACAGACTCTGGATGTGTTGACAGGAGAGTCCAGCGCTCTGTCATAGAACACCATTTCTTTGAAAAGTAGAAAATCAGGGAAAAAGAGCAGATGGACTGGTACGGCGGCTGCAGCAATGAACACAAACAACAACTCTGAGATGGGTAAGAATGGGGCCGTGTTTGTTCTTGTTTTACATAGAGTATCTATGATTGGAACCAACTCCCTGGCCCTTAAAAACAAGAACAGGGGATCAAAATCATGGTATACCAGGTAAGGCTATGTTACAGAGGTAGTCATAGACTTATTATATACTCACCTCACAACAAACTACTCTAGGATTGTGTTTTTGCCTTCTTCGTTTTTTAGTATTGTTCAGTGTCCCTGACACAGTCTGTGGGTCGGGAAGTTCTGTGATTTGGATGTTGTGCAAAGATGCCTAAGCGACAAGCAGTAGTATTCAATGGTTTTCTGCCTCTGTGTTGTTCAATGACCTGTGTTTCACCTCCAAATGGACACTTCTCCTCTGCCTCTTGCTGCCGTGATCACTAGCATTGGTTTCTCTGTATTTGGAACCTATGATGGATTTCATGGTGATATTTCCACAGGAACATTAGAGAGATAGCGCTGTAGGACTCCATGGACACACAATGCACAAGATTGGAGGAGGCTGCCTTTTAGTTTAAATATAAATGCATATGGTAAGTGTTTTCTTGAGTAGGGAAGGTCACATTTAATAATGCAAGTACCATACAGCACACAGGTAATCTAGTAACATAGGCATGACTATCAAGACATAGTTATATAGGCCCTATGTGTACTGTATCAGTACACATCTGGAAGTGAAATCTCTGTATGCAAGAGACATGGGACACACGTGTTATCTGTTGATAGCTGTTTGGTTCATTGGGTCTGGTTTTATCTGTTACATCCCTTTCTCCAGTCAGGATTTCTGGATTCTACACATATGATGGATACATAAGTGGCTGGACTTTGCCTGAATGGATGTTATTTGGCGCATGACTGTACATCATCCTGAGAGGAAATCATGGGGAAATACGTGCAGGGGATATGAAAAAAAAAAGCTTATTTATATGAACATTCTCCGAATATTTCTCCCGGACACTAGGATGGAAGTGACTGATATAAAAATTGTCTCTCTGGCAAGAGCCCTACATTGACAACTTGGTGTCATTGACGGGGACTGGTTCAAAGATCACAAAGAAGGGAGATTAACAGATTAAGATGCAACAGATATTAGTAGAGGAAAAAAATGATGTAGGGGAGGGGCCAGTAATGATGAAGAAGGAGAGAAGCTTTCAACAAAGGTATAGTAAAAGGATTAGCTACAGTTTTGCTAAACGACATCAGGTACTTCAGTAGCTTGAAAACACTGACCCACAGGCTGACTGCTTTGCTAAGGTGAATAGGCAGATTCAAGACACGGTGAGATGTTACCAGGAAATAAATGAAGAAAAAAGGAGGGACGACCATGTAGACAATTCTCATTAATTGCTTTCCACAAGTGGAGTTATTGCTGAAATGGACACAATGCTAATGTTGTCCAATTCTGTTCCATCATTGGGGACATTTTCATGATTTGTATATTCTTATGTATGTATTGAAATACATTCTACATTTATATGTCATCTCTCCAGCCCACAAAGAAAAATAGGGATGCTATTAAGAAAGATTCTGACAATAAAGGTGATATTGTGGTGGAAGAAATGAGATTTGTCAGAATTGATTCCTAATGGAGTGATCACAATGGAAATGTTTTAAAGTCAAATATGACCTGTACTGACATCCTTGCGTTGCTTTATAATCTCTGTGCTATTCCAGCACAGCTTCTGTATGTACCTGGGATACAAATGTCTTTCGTAATCACCACCAGTAAACCTCAAGGTCCCTGAACAATACCAAATATGTATGCCAATCCACACAGGAAACCACCTTACCTTCTCCATACGGATGTGCCATTCTAATGTAAACATGGTAGCTTGTTTCTTGATTCTTGTAGGTGACCCCAAGCCTTTGGTTTAGCTGTCCTTGTTTTCTACCCCCCACTTAATCATTTCTCTATTTCTAAAAATGCAAGCCATCTTTTTGGCCACACTTTCCTTTTCAATAAAATTCTGTTTTGACAAGTGCATACATATAACTCTTAAACAGAGAACAAATGGAAACTTGCCCTTCCAAACTTATTGACAACCCAAAGACAATTGTAATGCTATAAATAGAGCAGATGTTTAATACATAATTGATGGCAATGAACGTCATAAAGAAGTGAAAGTATTCTTCCACATGAAGAAAGCTTTATTCTTTTTATAGATTTGCGATTGACTTTCTGCCACTCTGTGGACTGAAATACATCAGGAAAGGCAGGTTGCTACTTTCCTACATTTGCTTTGCTATTTTGACTTGTTTATTTTTTAATATTATTTTCCATTCTTTTATTTTGGGGCCGAAATGCTATATAATTTTATAATTTCTAACATAAAATAAATCATTTTAAGTGGGAGGGTTCTTAATACATGGAACTTTTCATTCCTCTCATGTATGTAGTTCAGAGAAGAAAAATAGCTTGCTTCTGCGTCTAGAGGTCTTTCTGCGATGTTAAGTTTGCTTCCACTAAGCTGAGACGTTCTATTCATAATCTTCGAACCACTCAGACTCACTGGAGGATATGAAGAGAACTACACCCAGCCATAAATCACAGCAAACTTCCACTCGTTCAAGGAGGTGGTTGTGCCTCGGGGAAGGAATGCACGTCATCTGGAACAGGGTATATAAGACCATTGCTTTCCTACAAGGTGTACGGAAACGTTCCCACCTCTCCATGACGTTCAAAACCCCTCCCTTGCTACCACCGAAAGCCCAAAGAAGTGGGGGTAAAGGGTGTGCTCTTACAATTCAGAAAAGATGTTATCGATTTCAGGTCGAGGGCAAAGGTTGTTCAGGAAAACTCTGTATACTTCTGGAGTGAAATCTTCTTGAGGTATGGACTCATTCTGTAAAAGAGACCAACAGAGTCAGAAAAGGGTCTTTTCTTTCCGCACCTTTTCTCCCTTCTTCTACTTTTTCTCTCTTCTTCCTTCTCTTTCTCCCTCCTGCACCCACCTTCTTTCCCTTTCTTCCCAACTCAACATCCTTTCTTTCTTTCGTTCAGAAAATCAGGACATCCTGATTTTAGAACATTTAGAACATCCCTATGAGGCTAACAATGGAGTGCATTTGGACACAGGTTTTGTGTGTCCAACACACTGCTTTATTTCAGCAGCTTTACTTTTTTGTTATCTTTGTACTTTTAAGTTTAAGATGTTTAACCTGCTAAAAAGGTGTTAAGGCCATGTTCTAAGTATATCCACTAGAATAAGTTTGACATCGAGAAAAACAGGGTCTGTTTTGATTTTAAATGGATATACTTTTTATTAAAAGTAAAGAACCTTAAAAAAAGTATTGTCAACATTTCAATTGTGAATCATTATTTTTCAAATGGCATTCCTTCTGGGTTAAATCTGATAACATTGTAAAACCAGTTTTCATAAATAGGACAGTCATTATTTTCTCTCTGATTCCTCCTGGTCTTATTGTTTGGAAAACTAGTCACTGATATAAAAGCTACATCTGTGACTTATTTTTCCGTTTGGGTGCACTGCCATGGAGACAAGAAGCATGTATTCAACCTTTTATTAACAGGAAGGATATTTTTTGTGCTGTTTTCCTGTTTCAGGTAGGTGTTTAGATGCTTATTTTTACTTTTAAGACTTTAAACTGAAGCAAACACCCTTCCTTTCACTATATTCATCCAATTTTCAATGCACATTTATAGAACTGTCAGAAAATATTATTGTCTGGTGTATTGTCTGAAATTGTATACTACTGCTTAGGAGAACTTAGCTCACCACTCAGCTTAGAGTAGGAACCCCATGTTTACAGAATGAACAAATGAAGGTATGCTTTCTTTACTAAATCCATTTATAGAGAGGCTGAGAAACCTGTTTTGCAATTCTACTTTGCAAAATAGAATTCTGACCCCACTTATGAAATGGGGACAATAATAACCTGTAACCAGATGTCCAAAGGAATGTTTAAGGGGAATGTCCTGTGACTACAGTTTTGACATTTTCCAGCACTCTCATCTTTCTCTCTGTGCTACCCACTGCAGCAAGGTGAGTTCAACTCAGGGCCACTGACAGGACAAAGCAGAGCTGCTCCTGGGTTTGCTGAGAGTGCAAATCTTTATGAGAACACAGTCTTATCTTTCTCCCACCGTGAGTGGCTAGCGGGTTTAACTGCCAACCTTGCAGTTAGTAGTCCAACTCTTTACCCACTATGCCACCAGGGCACGTAACTCCCTCTGGATCCTCACTGACTGCCACAGAGTCAATTCTTACTCACAGCGACCTTACATGACAGAGCAGAACTTCCCTTGTAGGTTGTTGAGACTATTAATCTTTATGGGAGTAGAAAGCTTCATCTTTCTCCCAACGGTTCATAGTTTTGAACCACTGACCCTTTTCTGAGCAGTCCAACATGTTTCTTTAAATAGATAAATGGATGTATATCATCAGAAATGACCTTCTCTAGCACAGTATTTATGAGGGACATTGGTGGTTCAGTGATAGAATTCTTTTTTTTTTTTTTGCCATCTGGGATACCTTCCACTCCTGGTCAATGCATCTCCTGCAGAGCCATCAACCATCTATGACCGCAGGCTTTGGGGACGCTATGGCACTGAACAGGCTTCTGAAGAGCTTTCAGATGAGGGTGGCTTGGGAGGAAAGACCTAGCAATCTACTTCTGAAACTCAGTCAATGAAAACCCTAACAATTACAATACAGATAGCATTTTTCCTGCATGGGTTCAAAATAAATTGGGGGTGGGTTCTAAGGTCACTAACAGTAATGCCCCACTGGTGAGCAACACAGGGAAGAGGAGGAACTAGACATAAGCCACAATACTCAAAGGAGCCCTGATGATACAGTGATTGTGCGCTGGGATACCGACCACAAAGTCAAAAACTCAAAACGTCCAGCCATTTCACAGGAGAGATGTGGGGCTTTTTATTCCCCTAAAGAGTTACACTCTCAAAGAATCATAGGGGCAGCTCTGCCCTATCCTACAGAGTCACCCTGAGTCAGCATCGACTCAATGGCACTGAATTTGAGTTTCTGGGTCAATGGCTCTGTCAGCTAACTCCAATGGATCATCTGATTTTAATAACCC